TTGTTGTTGTTTATTTATTTATTTAGTGTATGTGGCCAGCTCAGCCCACCAGGGGGCGGGGCTGGCTGGCATGTGGTGCTGGGGGATTGAACCGCAGTCCTTGTGCTTTGCTTAGCTTAGCTTGTTCTAAGTAGGTGCTTTAGACCACTGAGCCATCTCACCAGCCCCCTATGGTCTCTTTTTTAATAGGCTTTTTTTGTTTGTTTGTTTGTTTGTTTGTTTTTAACATTTTACAAAAAATAATTGATTAGTTAATTTGCTATAGGGTCTCAATATGCAGCTCAAACTTTAGTGATCCTCCTGTCTTTGCCTCCCCGGCACTGAGATTATAGGCATGAGCCACCATTCCTGGTTTCAGTGGCCTGCTCTGTGTGCAGGGCTGGCACAGAATGTGGTACTAGTGATTGAACCTGCATCCTTGTGCTTGCCAGGCAGGCACTTAGACTGCCAAGTTATCTCCCTAACCCCTTCAGGCCTGACTTGAAGACAGTATATAGCTCAGACCAGCCTTGACCTTATAGTAATCCTTCTGCCTCACTCTCCTAAGTGCTGCAATTACAGACATGCAACAGTATGTCTGGCTGTCTGGTTTTTTTATGTATATCTTTTCTCAATTTAAGTAAAGTACATTTAGAAAGATAATCAAGACATTAAATAAAAGGCATTAACTAGTGGAATAGAGAAGAAAATACATTGAAGAAGAAAATTTGGAGTTATATGTACCTGTTGTTCACAGGCCTATTATTTAATTCTTGCAGTTTTCATATGGGATTATAAAAGCAGATTTATTGAAATTATAGGGGCTGGGGAAATGGCTCAGTGGAATAAGCTCTTCCCTGGAAAGCTCAAGGGCCTGAGTTCAATCGCCGGTTCTGCCCCCAAAAAAAATTATAAAATTTTGGTAAATATGAAAGCTGGGTGATAGTGAACAATCATCTAAATTTTCCCAGTAGTGTGAAAAGAAGCTTAATTGTGATATATATTGATATGCCCTTAAAGCACAGCTCTTTTTAAAATTTTTGGTACTAGGGGTTGAACCCAGGATACTGGGTCAGCACTCTACCAACTAAGCTAGATTTCCCAGCTCCTCCTGCCAGAGCCTCCCAGGTGCTGGGATTATAGGCCCGCACTGTCAACACTCAGCTAGTCTGCCTATTTTTGTGCATAATTATATTAAAAATTAGGCCAATTTGGATGGGCTTCATTTTTTTAATTATCCCTCAGTGTCCACCAGGAATTAGTTCTAAGAACTCCCACAGATACGGAACCTGAGAAACTAAAATCCCTTTAAAAAAAAAAAAAAAAAAAAAAAAAAACCTATTAATCAGCTGTGAAACTGTCTCATTTATATTTATTTCTCAATTTTAAAAAATGGTGTAGTTTTGGTAGGCACGGTGAGAATGCCTGTAATTCCAGCACCCACAAGGCTGAGGCAAGAAGTTGAATGTATGAGTACAGAATCCATGGGTTTAGAGGGATGGCTATTTTGAATTTTCCATGGTCAGTATTTTTTAAAGTACATGTAACACATACATAATTTCTGAAAAATTCTGTGGGTTCTGAATTGATTAGTCCAATTATCAGCTTGTTTTATCTTAAAGCCCTTAACATTGCTTTTTATGCTTTTTTTTTTTCCTCTTGAAGAATAATTTCCATGAGAAAAGTGTCTTGGCTTCTCCTTCAAATTCCAGAAAATCTGATCCAGTCACAACCAAATTGCAAGTGAAAAATAAGAACAAACAAAAAAACACTGGAGATATACAGAAGTAAGTGAACATATCCAACTATTGAGCAACAGCCTTGAGCCATTGCTTTGTGTTCATGTTAGGCTGCCATTAGGAAAGTTTTCCCTGTGGACTTGGGATAAGCCCCTAAAGGTGGTCTGAGAATGATGTGAAGAGGGAGCTACTCCCATATCTCTGAACCTGGCCTGCTTCTTACCCCACTGCTTCTTTTGACAGATTTGCACTTTTTATCTTGTTTGGTCCAGGCTCATATTACTCCTATTTTCACAAAATGAACCAGTTGAGTCCCTCTTTCTCTTAGTTTAAATTCAATAAAAACACAGTCAAGGGGCCAGGGGGATAGCTCAGTAGAATAAGTGCTTGCCTAGCAAGTGCAGGATCCTGAGTTCAATCCCTGAAGAAAAAGAAAAAGAAAGAAAAAAGAAATAGAAAGAAAGAAAGAAAGAAAGAAAGAAAGAAAGAAAGAAAGAAAGAAAGAAAGAAAGAAAGAAATCAATCCTCCTGGGGCTGGCCTGATAGCTCAGTGGACTAAAGCCCTGCTTAAGCTGGGATTTGATCCCCAGCGTGCCATGCGGTGCCGGTCCCACCTGTGGGGTGCACTGAGATGGCGATTGAGACTGGGTGTGGTGGCGTGTGCCTGTAATCCCAGCACTTTGGAAGCTGAAAACAGGAGAATCACTACGAGTCCGATCTATGTAGTGAGACCCTGTAGACCCTATCCAAATATATATATATATATATCTCCTCCAATAGTAGCCAGCTCCCCCATTGCTGGATGCAGTATCTGACACTGACAGTTTAAAGGAGGAAGTTTTAATTTGACTTACAGTTGCAAGGGGCTTCAGTCTGTGGTCAGCCATCAAAAGACCTCATGTCAGAAGGGCAATGGGAGTAAAGCCATTTAGTTCATGGCAGCCAGGAAGAAGAGCAGGTGGCAGGGAACTGGATATAGTGCCCAAGGCCATGCCTCCATGTCCTGTCCCCCCAACATACCCAGAAGGATGCTGTACCTCCACTAGGCAGCTTCCAAGCCAATCATGTGGATACTGGGAGGCTTAGCTGCCATGCCCCTTCTGCCCTTTTTTCCTAGCTTCTGAATCATACTTTTTCCCTACTTTATAAGAAATCATGAGGTTATTATTGGTGGCCTGACCTTATCCCTAGCAGTGCCCCTCTAGCATTAATTAACAGATAGGCTCGATGGTTCATGAGGACATAAGGGATGCCCTAGTGATCAGAGGAGATAGAGCCAAACTGAGTAAGTATGGGTAGGTTACGCAGCCTGCTTCCAAAATTTGTTGAAATTTTGAAAGAGGTGTGGGAAGATTTGAAAGAAAAAGTTAAATGAGGTAGTTACTATTAAATGAAATAACAGATTTTTTTTAATTTATTTATTTATTTGAGAGAGAGTGTGTGTGTGTGTGTGTGTGTGTGCGCGCGCGGCCAGCTCAGCCTGCCTGGGGGTGGAGCTGGCTGGCATGTGGTGCTGGAGGATTGAACCGCGGTCCCTGTGCTTTGCTAAGCTTGTTCTGAGTAGGTGCTTTAGACCACTGAGCCATCTCACCAGCCCGAAATAACAGATTTTGAATGCAAAGTAGAAATCAAGACAAAAGCATAATTAGGTATTTCATAGGGAAAGGGAAGTAGATGGATGAAAAAGAAGATGTGTTATATACATTACCAGTGTCCCATAACAGCTGTGATCATTATGTACAACAAACATGGACTAATAAAAATAAACTTTAAAAAATGTAGGTATTTAATATTGACTTCTACTTGGTATAACTCATGAATCTATATATCTTAACTACTTTGAAATACAGTAATGCCGTGTTTCATGAATTTCTCTTTGTAAATGGTTCAATTCACAACCAAAAGTTTCAGTAGAATTTTGCTTGTGTTCACAAATTCTCCATCAAGGGACAGATATGACTGCAGCCATCTCCCCCCCAAAAAAAAAACAAGTTTGTAAACCAAGGTACTACTGTATAAAAACATAAAAAATTATTAGAGATAAACCAGTGAATTTGGAAACAGATATCCAAAAACTGATAAGTTTATTAAAGTTAAAGTTAAAAATAGTTAAGGGACTGAGGGCATAACTCTGTGGTAGAGTAAGCATTTAGTATCCATGAGGCCTTGGTTTCAGTTCTCAAGACCACAGGTTAAAAGTTAAAACACAGTCAGGGGGCCTGGGAGATAGCTCAGTAGCATAAGCACCTGCCTGAGAAGTGCAGTCCTGAGTTTCATCTCCAGTACCAAAAAAAGAAAAAAACCATAACCAGGGACTCTGCCTGTAATCCCAGCTACTTGAGAGGCTGAGGCAGGAGAATCACTTTAGCCCAGGAGTTCCAGGCCAGCCTGGACAAAATGGACTGTCTGTCTGTATATGTAATCCTAATTACATGGGAGGCTGAGACAGAACACAAATTAGAGGCCAGCCTGAGTAAATTACCAAGACCCTTTCTCGGAAGTAAATTGCCAAGTATGGTGGTGCACACTTGTAATTCTAGCACTCTAGAGGCTGAGGCAGGAGGATTGCTGCAAGTTCAAGAACGGCATGGGCTACAAAGTAAGTTCAAGGCCAGCCCACAGTACTGAGAAAAAGATTTTTAAAGGGGCTAGTATTTTTAGTTTCATAATAGAGCACTTAACTAGCATTTGCAATCCCCCTTGCTTTGTCCCTACTTATCCCAACCGAAAGACATTTTTCAGTCAGATATAAATGGTTAATAAGCATGTGAAAGATGTTCATCATCATTTGTTATTGCAGAAAAGCAAATTAAAACCACCACAATAATATACTACTTCCTATGTGATAGGGTGGTCCCCTTTATGTTGTTGTTTTGGTTTGTTTAGTCTTTTGTAATGTAGTCATGCACCCCGGGCTGGCCTTGAAGTCTTGGAATCTTCTTGCCTCAGCCATTTAAGTACTGAGATTAAAGATACCTACCACCACACCTGGCTTTTAAACTTCTTTCAATAATTATTTAGTTTTGGCCTGGGGAGATACTTCAGCAGTCTGAGTGCCTGCTTGGCAAGCACAAAGACTCAAGTTCAATCTCCGGTACCGCATGCTGTGCTGGCCCCAAAATCAGGTGTGGTGGCACACACCTGTAATTCCAGCACTGGGGAACTTGAGACAGGAGGATCACTAGAAGTCCTAGCTGCGTAGTGAGACCCTGTATCCAATAAGTAAAAATAAATGAATAATTATTATTTAGTTTTACTTACATACTGTTTTATTAATTTTTATTTTATTTTTTTACCTTTTTTATTTTTTAAATAAGGAGTCTAGGGGCTGGGGAGATGGCTCAGTAGAATAAGTGCTTCCCTGTCAAGCGCAAGGGTGTGAGTTCAATCCCTGGTTCCGCCAAAAAAAAAGGAGTCTATACTCAGCCTTCTTCTTATTTTCATCAATGCTAGAGTTCAAAGCCAGAGCTTCCTCCATGCTAGGCAAGCGCCATACCATTGGGCTACACCCTAGCCATGTGCTGCTTCAGGTTTGGGGATGGTGGGATGCACTCTGATAAAGCAACAGGTCAGGACAGCAGGCAGCCTTGATCATTAACGGTCACCTGGCTTTCTTGTATCGGCCACATACCAGCTATCTTTCAAAGTGTTCCAACTTTGACAATTTTTTTAAAGGTATTTGTCACCTAAATCTCAATTTGGGTCAGCATCACAGTCTCCAGCTGGACAGGAAGTCAGGAAGAACTCCGTTTCTAAGGTATGTTGGTGACGAAGATGTTCTTAGGGAGGATTGTTAATGCTGTAGATTATTCCTGCCTATGGTTCCTTTTTTTAAGGCATGCTGCGTTCTGGAGCTCCCTCTTAATCATTAAATTCACCAAAGCTAGGACTCAGGAAGCCTTTGCTCTTGGGCAGGGTGAATGATGTAGTCTTTGCAGTCAGTACAGCTATGCGGCCATGGCCTTGAAGTGTGAGAGCCTCTTGCCATTGTATAAGCAAATGAGTGACCTGGCTTCCAGTAAAACTGTAAAGAATGTCACATCCCAGAGCAGGGCCACAGGGCCGGGGAGATGGCTCAGTAGAATAAGCGTTTGCCTGGCAAGCGCAAGGGCCTGAGTTCAATCTCTGGTTCTGCAAAAAAAAAGCTGGGCCACAGGCCATACTTGCCTGATCTCTGACCTGGATGATCAGTCACAGACTGAGTAGGTTATACCTGGCACCAGCATCTCTTTGAAAACCCTGAGATGGGAAGCAGAGCCATGCAGGCAGGGCAGCATTAGGTTTGCTGTTTATCTCGTAACAGCCCCCATATATACCCAGCCAGAGCCGGAAGTCACAGAGAACCTCAGGTTCATAAAGCATTCGCTCTCCTGGCACAGATGCAGTGCAGTAGTCAGGGTCCTTGTTACTGTAAGCTAGCGTGGGGCATGATTACAGGTGCATTTCATTCTTAGCAGGATTTCAGGACATAGGCTGGAAAAGAGGGACACATGCCAAGGTTAGTTTCCCACACAGAATTTGACTAGTTGTTCCCTCACAGGTCCTTGAATTCAACTGGGTGGTTTTATACCACTCAGCATCTAATGAACACTTGCTATATCCCAAATAATGTGTGTGTGTAATCTCTCTCAATGTCATCAGGATGAGCCAGGCACACTTCTGTAATCCCAGCACTCAGGAGGCTGAATTGTAGGCCAGCCTAGGCTACAAAGTGAGTTCGACGCCAGCCTGCACTGCATAGCAAAACCCTCTCTTGGAAAAATAGTCACAGTTACCAGCTCTACAAGGCAGTTGTCCTTATGCCCAGGATTAGTAGGTAGGTTGGTAGAGCTAGAATATTTTTCCTATCCCAAATGTCACTTAAGGTGTGAGAGTGAGAAGACTAATTAGATTGGCTAAAACAAGAGCAATGTTTTGTTAACTTCTAATTTTAGTATTTCCTTTAATTTTGGTAGGCAATTTTTTTTGTTTTTTCCAGAACCAGGGATTGAACTCAGGCCCTTGCGCTTGCCAGGCAAGTGCTTATTCCACTGAGCCATCTCCCCGGCCCCTTTAATTTTGGTTATTTTTTTTTAATTAATTTATTTATTTTGTGTGTGTGTGTGTGTGTGTGTGTGTGTGTGTGCCCAGCTCAGCCCACCAGGGGGCGGGGCTGGCTGGCATGTGGTGCTAGGGGATTGAACCGTGGTCCCTGTGCTTTCCTAAGCTTGTTCTAAGTAGGAGCTTTAGACCACTGCGGCTCCTTTAATTTTGAATGTACACAGCAAACCATGATGCTGTAGACAAAAGTACCTATGCCTTTGTTGCCGGTAGAAAACAGGTATTTTAATATCACATTTCATTTCTTGAAATATTTGTTTGATATCAGAATAGAAAATGTTTAAGAAACTAAAAATAGAAATTTCATTTGACCCCGCTGAGAGCCCTTCTAGGTGTCTTCCTAAAAGAATTAAAATTATTTTACAGCCAGGTGTGGTGGTGCATGTGTGGAATCCAGAACTTGAGAGGCTGAGGTGGAGGATCACTGAGATTTTGAAACCAGCCTGAGCTACATAGTGAGCTCAAAGCCAGCCTGAAGTACATAGCAAGACCCGGTCACCAAAAGACACGCACCTGCCTGGCAAGTGCATGGTCCTGAGTTCAATCCTGGATACCACACACACACACACACACTAGAGGCAGCCAAATATGATGGTGCACACCTGTCATCACAGGACTTGGGAGGCTGAGGCAAGAGGACTGCTTTAAGATCAAGGCCAGCCTGAAGGTACATATTGAGACCTGTCTCAAAAAAAAAAAAAAAAAAAATCAGGGCCAGGGAGATAGCTCAGTAGAATAAGTGCTTGCCTAGCAAGTACAGGGTCCTGAGTTCAATCCCTGGTACCCAAAAGAAAAAAAAAAATCAGATTATAATAGCTAGATCTTGGAAATGGCAAATATGTCCATCAGCAGATAAGTGGATGAGGAAAATATAGTATTAGCCAGCCCTGGTAGTGCATGCCTGTAATCCCAGCACTTGGGAAGCTGAGGCAGGAGGATCACTGTGAGTTTGGGGCCAGCCTGGGCTACAAAAACAAGCTCAAGGGCAGCCAGCATTACATAGCAAGACTCTTTCAAGAAAGAGGGAGATAGGGGCCTGGAAGATGGATCAGTGGAATAAGCGCTTGCCTGGCAAATGCAAGGGCCTGAGTTCAATCCCCAGTTCCAAAAAGAAAAAGAAAGAGGGAGAAAGAAAAGAAGGGTGAGGGATGTTTATACAACAGTGGAGTACTACATTGCCATAAAGAAACATAAATTTGAGGCATTCATAGGTAAATGGATGCAGTTTACGATGTTAAGTGAAGTTACACAAGCTCAAATACCCCATGGTTTCTCCTATATGAGAAACTGAGATAGATAGATAGATAGATAGATAGATAGATAGATAGATAGATAGATAGATATAGGAGATAAATAGGAACTAAAGAGAAGATCAAACACTTCCCCAAATTACATAATCCATTTAAAAATATTTTGGGGCTGGGGAGATAGCTCAATAGAATAAGCGCTTGCCTGGCAAGCACAAGGGCCTGAGTTCAATCCCCGGTTCCGCAAAAAGCAAACACACACACAAAATATATATGTATATATACGTTATATATACATATATATAATGTTTATATATATATATTAATATGTATGTGTGTTATTTTAGATAGTAAAAGAATAATTTTTTTCTTTATTTTAGAGACATGGTCTTGCTGTGTAACACAGGGTGGCCTTGAACTTACTACATAGCCTAGGCTGGCCTCAAATTTGCAGCAGTCCCCCTACCTCAGCCTCCCAAATGCTGGGATTACAGGGTTGTACCACCATACTGGCAGTAGTACTATTAAAAAAGAATTAGACCTGGAGGTATAGCCCAGAGGTAGAGCATTTGCCTAGCATGTACAAGGCCCTGGGTTCAATTCTCAGCAATGCCCCCTGCCAAAAAAATAGACCATAATGATTAGTACCACCTGGTAATGTGTAGTGACTGCTCACCTCTGGCATCTGCTTTGTAGATTATGATTTGACATGCAGCATATCTTTTCTACAGACAGTTGGCAGTAACATTGCCAAGACTCTTGTGTGGCAAGACATGGAAGCTGGAGATATGCCAACGCTTTCGCCACAAGTGTCCCTTGAGGTTCAGGAATCAAGTGCGATGTCTTTGGTGGACTCAACTATGCCATGGCTCTGTGCCTATGATGCAGTTCAGTGCCTTGAAGGCAAGATCAAGACAAAGTCAGACAATCATGATGAAGAGTTGTGTGTTACAAATCATACAGGACCAAAAGACAAAGCTCCGTCTTCTCAAACATCTTCCACTGAGCTTGGGGACCAAGCTTGGAATGGGGGCATTCTACCCCATGTGACCCAGGTGACTGAAGACTGCACAGTTGAAACAGAAAATGAGGAGTCTGGTCTACTGCTTATTGATGATGTTTCCAAAAGAAAACACCAGGAGCCTGCATCCGAAGCAGCCAGGGATCCCAGCTGCTCTGCAAAAAGGAGAAAGATGTTCCCCAGGTCTTACACAGATGAAGAAACAGAAAGAAATTTTACCCAAAAATTGATAGATTTGGAACATCAACTTTTTGAGAGACATAAGCAAGAAGAAGAGGACAGGTTATTAGCTTTGCAGCTGCAGGAGGAGGAAGAAAAACAAAGGAAGCCCAGCTGGCAGAAAGGCTACCGTGACCAGTACGAGCTCCGCACAGCGTCCACGGCACCCTCCACGGCACCCAACGGATTGCTGACCAGACAGTCAGCAGCTTCCAGGCAGAGGGAGGCAGCTGGAGAACACAGCCTCAAAAGGCAAATGGCCACCGAGGAGCCCAGACCTCGGAGAGGCTTGAGAGATGAAAACTGGCAACCTTTTAAAGCCCAGCCGAGGCCTTCAGTTAGTGAAAGAAAGATGCCAAAGTCCAGCAGAGATCATCACAGTGTTCCTAGAAATGCTCAGTCCCTGCAGCCTCGCAACTCACAGAAAAGTATCTTTGAGATGTTTCCCAGGTGCACGAAGTAGAGTTGGGTAAAGAGTGTTTATAAATCCAGGAAAGCCAGGTTGGCAGCAGTTCTCTCTGTTATGGAATTGTGATGGCCCTGTCCTCGGGTCCTGCCCCATAGCACAGGCTCACCTTCTTGAAAGAAAGGGGAGAGCAAATGTGTTTCTTCAGAGCTCAGTGGTGAGCAAGGCCCTTTTCTGCCATTGTTGGTGCTGAGGGTGTAAGTTTCACTGTCCTGGATGGAAAAGTTCCTTGGCCAGGCCTGAGGCTTCAAGTGCCATTCTCTTTCCAAAAAGTGGGTATTTTATGTGCCTTTGCTCACCTTCATTGTGAAGAGTAATCTAAGCAGGATCATGCTATAGTAAGTAGGGGATCCATGTGAGATTTAACGTCTAGATTCTTGCTGCTTTCCCTTTATGGAGCACTTGAAATGCATCTACCTAACACTAATGCAATTAATTTATGTGATTTAAGTAAATGTTAAGTGTTACAGCATTTCCTTTGACTTGAAATGGATAAGGACCAATGTTTAGAGTTTTCTAGAAAATTGAAACTCAGTTGACAGAAAGGAGAGTGGATTCTTTACCAGTGAGGTGTTAAGAGCTCTGATGAGGCTGCACGAAGAAGAAGCTGTCTCTTGACAGTGTTTTCCCTCAGCCTTTCTTTGCTAAATGACTACAAAAACATTGTGCTTTTATCGCTTTTCACACTATAGCATTGGGTCAGAATCAAAATTCGTAGCCAGGCATGATGGTGCATGCCTGTAATCCCAGCACTTGGGAGACTGAGGCAAGAAGATCACCTGGATTTCAAGACCAGACCGATCTCCAAAATGAGTCTGAGGCCAGCCTGAGTACATAGCAAGACCTTGGCTCAAAAATCCAAACTAAATTGTATTACTAAGATTTTGGAAATGCACATGTCTGTTAATTTGCTATTCCAGAAAAACTAGGAATTTACTGTATAAGAGTTGTATCACACAAAAGCTTGTATTTTGGAACCTGAGACAACCGTGTATTTCCTTATTTGTATACCTGCTTCTATTTGTTTTTTATAAGCAGATGTAGCAAATATGAAGGATTTTTGTTTTGTTTTGTTTTGTTTTGTTTCTTTGGCTATTTCAGGCTGCCTTACATGCAGATGTGATGTGAGATAGCAAGTATAATGTATGAGTTTTCTCCTGTCTTCTCCTCCTCCTTGTCCCTCTCTCTCTTGAAATAGAGTCTCACTATGTAGTAAAAGCTGACCTTGAACTCAGTGCAGTCTTCCTGCCTCAGCCTCCCAAGTGCTGAGGCATGGGCCACCACACCCAGCACCCTGATTTACTTCTGAAAAATCTGAAAACAGTGATTTTATTTTGGGACATATAACTTAGAGGCTATTGATTTTCTCATTTCATTAATATGAAGAACCTTGGGGCTGGGGATTTAGCCAGCTGCAGAACACTTGCCTAGCAAGCTGGAAGCCATGGGTTTGGTCATTGACACCAAACAAACAAAAAAAAAATTTAGCTTTAATTTCCCAGTATTTTTAGATGCTCTAAAAGATTTTTCCTTCAAATTTTATAAATTCTGTTCATCTTGACATACTTTGTGGTATCCACATGAATACAGATTCAGTGATTATAAGTAGAAATTTTTTGCTAATTTTAAATTAAGTTTGATGTTTTTCACACACACAAAATAAAATTATCCTCTGAATAATGATTGCTTGAAATTAGATACAGCCAGAAACAAATTCAAAGGCTGGGGAAATATCTCCGGGGCATAAGTGCCTGCCTGGCAAGTGCAAGGTCCCGAGTTTGATCCTCAGTACCATGTGCTTTTCTGGCCCTGGAACTGGATGTGGTGGCATATGCCTGTAACACCAGTACTAGGGAGGCTGAGACAGGAGAATCACTATGAGTCTGAACTGCCTAGGGAGACCCTGTATCAAGAAAAAAAAATTCAAATGTCATGAAATGAGGACTTTTCTTAAAGCAAATTCATCTAACATTTAGGGTGGGCCTTGATGAAACTGTTCAAATTAAAATTTACCTAATTAGATCTCCCTGGAATAGTCCAAACCAAAAAGAAAGAAAACCCAAACAGCCCATATTATGATATGTTTAAGATTTCTGTATTTCTGTTCTTGTCTATGAAGATGTCTTCCTGACAAAAGTTGGTTTTGAGATAAATTTTAATTTCTCTGTTACTCTTTCTGCTCTTCTTACTATATATGCCTTTCTGTTAAAAATAATAAATGTTTTGTGCTAGTCATTAGAATGTATGGTACTTTTTACTCTTCTTGTGGAGAGGATATAAGAATGTTTTTCAAGGAGTACCAAAAGTTGCAGCTGATGAGAATATGAAAATTAAATGAATAAAATAGATTATTATGAGTATATACTATATTTTAGATAAAAAAATGCCTTTGTAAAAATTAGATGCTACATGACAAAATTTAGAGAAAAGCTGGAAGACATGGTAGGCACCAGGAGAAACAGTTGCATTTCTTCCTAGAGACCTAATTCACTTACATACAGCATGTGCCAGTTTAGCCTGAAAAAGATGAACAATTTAGAAAATAGCAAAGATTGTATCCCCAAGAAACATATTCTCAGGAAATACAAATGGCTCTTAAAGATGTAAAAAGATGCATAATATCATGTAAGTAAGGTGAAGGAGTCTTTGTTTTATTTGTGGAGTGTGTGTGATGTGTTTTTTAATCTCCATAAGAGTGGGGAAATAAGGACCAGCCAGATAGCTGGGTGGATTAACATGCTTAGGCAGACATGGCGGCTGGGGTTCGATCCCCAGTGTGCCTTGCCAGCCTCACACCCAGAGCATGCTGAGATGGTGATTGAGATGGTGTGGTAGTGTGCACCTGTAATCCCAGCATTTGGGAGGCTGAAAACAGGAGAATCACTTGGAGTCTGATCTGTGTAGTGAGACCCTATAGGCCCTGTACTAAATACATCAAAAATAAATAAATAGGGAAATAAATATTCTTATGTGTCACTTGGTGTGACAAACTTGAAAGCCCTCATGGAGGGCTTGGTAATTCTACCCCCCAGGACTCCTGAGGTGCTTTCTTCATGTGTATTCAGTGACATGCTTGGAATTTTGTTGGATTATAAACCCTCAGTAGATGCTGTCCCTGTGACCCAGTAAATGATAGTATAATAAAATACTGTACAGCTGAACCTTATATAAAAAGAATAAGTAAATTATATAAAAAATGTAAGATACATGTAAATGTGTAGTCATTTGAGAAATTATTTTCATAAAATATCTTCTGAAGGAAAAAAAAATAAAAAAAAATATCTTCTGAAGGAGAGCTAATTAATGTGTAAGAGGAAGAGGAACTGGGGGTTGGAAAAAGGAATGGCGGGACGACTTCACTACATGTTTTTTACATTTTTGAATTATTGACTGTAGCATCAGTCAGAATAACTAAGTGTTCTTGAAATATTGCAAGAGAAAGGAGACTTATAAATCAGCTGTGGCACTCTAGGTGCTCCCTTTTTGATCTGTTTTAAGAATTATAAATCAGGCTGAGCATGATGGTGCATGTCTGTAATCCCAGCATTTAGGAGGCTGAGGCAGGAGGATCACCAAGAGTTTGAGGCCAGTCTGGACTACACAGATCCTGTCTCATAAGACAAAAATGTATGAGAACAATAAAAACTTAAAATAATAAACCTCACAACTCATAATATATTAATAAATTGGACTCTTTCCCCTCTAAAAAATCTTAGAGCTATTTTTTAAAAAAATGGGGCTGGGTCAGACATGGTGGCACACACCTATGATCCCAGCACACAGAAGGCTGAGCCAGGTAGATCACTTGAGTTTGAGGTCAGACTGGGCTATATAGTGAGACTCTGTCTCAAAACAATAACAACAAACCCTGGGGGCTTGTAGTGTAATTGAGTGGTATGGCGTTTGCTTAACATGCAAAGTCCTGGGTTTGATTCCCAGCACTCAAAAAAAGATTTGAGCCTCTATGGGAGTGGTGTGCAAACCTATGGCATGCTTACTACATCGGGTTTTGTTACTGAAGGATTTTTTTTTGGCCTGCTCAGGATGCCTTAAGGGCAGGTCTGGTAAGGCATGAGGATCTGGGGATCCAACCACAGAATTCTGAGCCTGACTGCTTTGCTTAAGCAGGCACTTAGACAACTGAGCTAATGGGCAGGCCCCTGGGTTTTGTTATTGAAAGCTCTAGAAGATTTGCCACCACTGCTCTAATCAGATTTTATTATCTCTTTGTGTGTAAAGACCCTCATAATCAACTAAATTTTGAGTCAGGGCTGAAGACACAGCTCAGTGGTACAGCCTTGACCAGCATGCACAAGGCCTGGAGTTATTCAATGTCCAGCACCACAGAATAAACAAATGAGTCCAGAATATTTTTCCATTTTCTTCAAAGGAGCTGGAGAAACCTGGAGCCTGAACTAACTAGGGTAGAGCAAGGACCCAGGTCCCCTCTTGCCTTTCATTCCATTCACTGATGATTTCTGTGGTTCCAGGTGGCCACCATGAAACTCCATCCCTGAGACTTAAGTTTAGAGGGTTCCTCAATCCAGGACCATAAATCAAGTCTCTTACCATTTGTGTCACTGCTTCCCAAGACTTAAGCTCCAGAAACAATTTGTCCTTTATTTCAGGTTCCACTGAGTAGCCATGGATGACCCTGAGGCCCAGGATCAGAAAGATCCCCTACCCAGCTATATACTCAAGGAAGGTTTGGGGACCACAAATTCACAATGGCTAATTTTGGTATTTCCCTAAAGAGTAAACGGAGGTTTATGATTATGGGTATCATGCTTTTGAGATTTCCCATTAACTCAAATGGGGCAACCTCTCCCACCCACCAAGACTAACTAAAGCCACTAAATTAAAAAACAATCCAGGGCAAGATCCTCCTTAGCATAAAATGTCCACCCTAATGAGTCATCCCAAGCCCATCATGTAGTATACCCAATAAATAGTGGCTGGCTTGGAGTGTCTTTGTCTCTGCCTGTCCTAAGGCATTAGCCTCCCAGCCCCCATTTGTGCATTACTAAATTTGTCTCTGTTTCTTATTTCATCCTTTCTCCGTAGTCCTCATACAGGCAGTTGGGGATCTTGGCCAGTTCCATGATAGAAGGTCAGCTAGCCTGCTCTATAGATATGGATCTAGTGAAGTCCAAACCATAGTATTCAACAGCAGAAGGTATTTATTACAGGGAATTGGCTTCACAGCGATGTCAGAGCAAAAGGAAACTGAGTTAACCCAAGACAGTAACTCAAGAAATGGTTTCAACCCTCCAAGCTGACAACAAGAGAGCACATTGATTATTAGAATGTGGGCACTTGGGTATGGGCAGGTGGGACCCTGGAGAAAAACCTCACCCCATTGCTGCTGATACTTCCAAAATAACCCAGAGAGCCAGCTTCTAGAAGAATTCAAGGAATCTGGAAGTCTATAAAGGCCCCAAAGATCCCTGAAGTTCAGGTACGACAATGCTAAGATTGTCTCTCTTGAAATTTTCTCCGCATAAAATTAAGCTCTCAGCAGGGCTGAGGAGGTAGCTCAGTAGAATAAGTGCTTGCCTGGCAAGTGCAGAGTCCTGAGTTCAATCCCTGGTGCTGCTGCCACTGCTGGGACCACACAGAGAACAGCAGAACCAAAACAAGAAACTTTTCCTTAGAATGTAATAGGAAGCCTGTTGTAAAGAAGTTGGAATTTTTTTTATTGCAGAATTGCGAGAGGCAGGTTTGGAGCTGAGACAAGATGGGGAAGAAGCATGCCGGAGATATTTTCCTGTAGCACATTCTGAGACTAAGATGTTTCAAATCTTTAAAGCAAACTATGCTCCTGTTGATAAAATGGAGAAACATGTAGGGAAAGATGCTTATCCACAAATTCCCACAAGAAAGTAGAACCTCATAAAGGATGAATGGAAAAACAAATACATTGAAAGCCCTGTGGAAAAACCAGCTGTTCCCTTTCAAATACCCTGATTATGACGACTTGTCATAAGATGCCAGTTCAGAGCATAAGGTTTCGTGTGCTACAGGCACTGGCAATCACCATAGCTGCCCTCACCACTGGCCATTTTCCCCAGTCTATAAATGCCCCAAAGATCCCTAAAGTTCAGGTACGACAGTGCTAAGATTGTCTCTTGAAATTTTCTCCGCATAAAATTAAGCCCTCAGTAGATATGGTGGCACATTCCTGTAGTCCTAACACGAGGAGAGTGAGGGAAGAGG